ACTTTAGTGGATCAATGGCTTTACAACAAATTGCATTGAAAAATAAGCACAACCTAGTTATAGTCTTCCTAACGTTGTTAGGAAATATCCCACGAATAGCCAATGGTAGTAGTTGTTGCATTAAGACATGACAGTCGTGAGATTTTAAGCCAACTAATTTAAAATCTTTAACTGATACAAGTCTCTTAACATTTGATGAGTAACCATGCGGCACTTTGATACTTTGTAAACACTCACAAAAACTTGTTTTCTCTTTTTTAGACAAAGTGTAGCAGGCAGGAGGCAAATATGTCTTGTTACCTATATATTGTGAAGTTAACTCTTATCGTATACCCATCAAACCCAAATCCAGACGAGCATTAATACCATCTTTTATCTTGCCTTGAATGTTGAGAAGTGTTTCGATTACACTATCACATACGTTTTTCTCCACGTGTATCACATCAATACAATATCTTACATCAAGACTAGACCAATATGGAAGATCGAAGAAAATCGATCTCTTTTTCCATACATTTTTCACAGTAGACCATTTTTGGTACTTTCCAAAGACAACATCAAGTCCCTGTTGTCGCTGATAAACTTCCTCTCCAGACAAGGGCTTTGGAGCAACACCATGCTCTTGTTCCCCATTGAAAGCTTTCCGCAATCTACGGTATGGGTGATAACATTTTAGAAATTTTTGATGCCCGAGATAAACGGTCTTCTTTCCTTTTTCAAGATGATGGTAACATGTGTCTTTTTCACATATAGGACATGCCTTATGCCCTTTAACTTTATACCCAGACAAATTACCATATGCCGGAAAATCGTTGATGGTGCAAAACAACATGGCACGCATATTGAACTGTTCTCCAGAATACGCATCAAAAACATCCACCCCTTCCTCCCACAACACTATTAAATCATCAATCAGTGGACTTAGATAAACGTCTATGTCATTTCCTGGTTGTTTTGGGCCCGATATCATGATTGATAACATAATATATTTACGCTTCATGCACAACATAGGAGATAGGTTGTAAATCATTAGGAGAACAAGCCAAGAACTATGGTTAGTACTCAGATTACCAAATGGATTCATTCCATCAGTAGAAAGTCCAAGTCTAAGGTTTCTCGACTCTTTGCCAAAATTTGGAAATAAAGAATCTATTTTCTTCCATTGCAAATAATCAGCTACATGACGAATTTGTCCATCATATTTTCTTTCTTCTGAATTCCATCTAAGGTTCTTTGCGTCATTTGCATTGGCGAATAATCTCTTGAACCTTGAAATTATTGGTAGGTACCATACCACTTTCGCAGGAGGACCCTTTTTTACAACCTCATCATCAATTGATTCACCATCTTTCTTTTTGTAACGTGACGCCTTGCACTTCGGACAATGATTATAGTTTACATACTCTTTTCTGTATAATATGCAATCATTAGGGAATGCATGTATCTTTTCATATTCCAAACCCATCGGACACAATATTTTCTTCGCCTCGTAATAACGACTTGGCATTACATTACCTTCTGGAAGCATTTTGGTCAACAATTCAAGCAACTCGGTAAAACTTTTGTCAGTCCACCCATTCTTTGCCTTCATATTAAATCATTTTAAAATGGCTGACAGACGTGTAAATTTTTTGCATCTTGGGTATAATGGTTTATCCTTGTCACTGCATAGAGTATCATACGTATGTGCCCTCTTAAACGAATCTTGTCCAATATTACGCATCATGTCTTCTAGACGATCATCCATTTCTACACTAACATCATCTCTTTGAGACACATTTAACTTTGCTACTACTTCACCATGCCATACCCATTCTATATAACTTTGACAAATCCCTACACAACTTAGATGATCCATGATTTCTTTCTTACTGCATTTTGGTTCTTTATTTCCACAACGAACACATGGACAGAAATAAAGCGCAGGAAGACTTTTTTCAGCATTACTTTCAGCAAACTGTACAAATTCCATCACTCCATGTTCGTACTTGTCACTTAACCGATTAGCTCTCATGCAACTACGATCCTTAGCTATGTTCACACGGAGGAAGGTCTGATGAAGGGTGTGCCCGCAGCTGTGCTACTTCACGGAGATTCCGAGATCGCAAGTTGCGTTGCTTCGCGGAGAAAGAAAAATAGAATCAAATTTCAATGGCAAGGTGATAACTCTATTAAGCTTGATAGGTTAAAGATAAAATGTGTGTTTCTGAGAGGACCATTAACGTTTCATTCAGAGGTTTCTAAGGAGACAATTTCTCTAATGAAAAAGAATGACATATACACAACATGTACTATATTATTAACTCTATACAAAATATATACTATTTATAACTAATTAGACTTAATTAAACTCTCTAAAAATAATAAACTGTTTAGTAATTAAAAAACAGATATGAACAAAGGAATGGATTCACCAAGCCACTGAGTTAGTATCTAGTATAATTTTCTAATTGTTTTTATATGTACTTCTAATTTTTATAATGTATCTCAGTAGCAAGCAAAGCAACAAGAATATCTTAAAAACTTTTTTGTATATATATATATATATATATATATATATATATATATATATATATATATATATATATATATATATATATATATATATATATATATATATATATATATATATATATATATATATATATATATATCTTAGAAATCTATAGATATACAATGAAGTTGAATAAAATAGAAAATTTCTTACGGGAATCGCAGTTCGATGGTGGAGGGGGTTTCGAAAAAGGTGAAGGGGGTTTCTTACCGGAACCGTCTTCGTGAACGACGGGAAAGGGCAGCGGGCGTTGGTAGCGGACGGAGACGGACGGAGGGAGTTCGTAGCGGAGACGAACGGACGGTGTTGGCGGAGAGGTGGGAGGAGAGAACGGACGGTGTTGGCGGAGTGCAGATGTCATTCGTAGGGATTATGTTTTGAAGAGAAAATAACTAAATGAACATCAGTAGGGTTTATTTCATAAATATATATTACAGTTTTTACATCAGTGGATTGAAATAACTGATGTAATAGTTATTTCGGAATAATGTTTTTACATCGGTTCTAGTAAATAACCAATGTAATGGTTGTTTTTTACATCTGTGGAAGTCAATGCCCGATGTAAGGATTTTCTGGTTTTTTACATCGGTGGAACGCAAGGCCCGATGTAAGGGTTTTCTGGTTTTTTATTTACCAATCTGCCACCTAGTTTTTTACATCGGTGGATCGTAAGGCCCGATGTAAGGGTTTTCTGGTTTTTTATTTACCAATCTGCCACCTAGTTTTTTATTTACAATACTGCCACCGTGTTTTTTTATAAAACCTTTTACATTGGTTTATTACTTGGACCGATGTAATAGCCAGCGAAATTTTTTTTTAAAATATTTTTTATATCATTACAAATGTCATTTTTTTAGTAGTGGCTAAATATTTTGTTGAAACACTGCTCAACTTTCTACTGAAATATATGTTGTGTAAAGTTTTGCAATCAAAAAATTTGTGTTCCTTCAACTTGCTATTAACATTGTTATGATATTTATTTGTATTTCAACTTGTATAACCTCCTTTCTAAGAAGCATCTTTGTAAACACACTTTGTATTTCAACCTTTGAGTTGATAGTTCCTTGAGAGACTAGGGTATAGTCAGAGTTTCTCAAAAAGAAAAATCAGTGAACCAAGATGAAAATAATTGTGTTCATTTATATTTTTGTTCTTGTTTCATCGTTGTTTATTTGGGAAGACAAAATATTTAAATCCAGAAACCCAATTCAAACCCTCATTTATTGTGTTTCTAGTACCTTCAGTTAGGGAGTCTCCTTGCTTCAACCCCCTTGAAATATTAATCTCTTAGGTCGGCCAACCATTAACCAAAACCGAAAGATTACCAAAAAAACACAAAAGCCCTCATCCAACTCCTCTGTTTATCATTAAACCCAAATCTACAAAGCATGTAATCAAGGAAAGACTTGTTGCCGAATCATTTTTATGAGGCCAAGAAGATATTGTATCCAATGGATTTGGATTATATCAAAATACATGCATGTTGTAATAAATCATATTATAATGGAAAGAGTATGAAAACAGAATCAAATGCCCAAAGTTTGTGGAATCGTGCTTCAAGTTGAAGGACATTGATGTTGATGACGATGAAAATTTAAATAAGAAGCATCCTCTTGTAAAAGTGTTATGGTACCTACTATTAATTACAAGGTTCAAGAGACTGCTTGTTAGTATTATTAACGCCAAGAATTATAGATGGCATGTAGGTGAAAGGAAATGTGATGGAAACATTTTTCATGTAAATGATTGTTTGCAATGGAATAAAATTTATTTGTTGTATCTAAATTTTTTATCATGAATCTATTTCGTAATATATATATATATATATATATATATATATATATATATATATATATATATATATATATATATATATATATATATATATAAACAAAATTTCACTACGTTTGCTTCCTAAAACTGTGCTATCATAAATATTGATGTTGGATATCGAAGTCATGACCATTCTACTTTTCATTAGGGGCTGTTATTTCAATCATCGTGAAATATGGGAAGGCATCATATTTATTACCAGTCAATATATCAAAGTGGAAAGTTACACACTTTCTATCACATCCTTCGTTATCAAGTATAATCATTTATAATCAAATTATTATTTATAATTAAATTATTATTTCAGTTGTGGTGAAAAGTAGTTTTTGTGGTAGTGCCTAGTCCAACTAAGTGTAGCATTCTCTCCAATTTTTTGCCTTAACCAATGGCCCAAAATAAATAAAAAAATAACACATTTTTCATAAAAACCATTGTTACCTCATCAACCCGTGAAATCCCTTTCCGCTAATATATTATATATACATATAAAAGACATAAAATCACAAATTTAAATAGATTATTCGAAAATATAGGCTACATATATAGATATAAGGTTGCTGGCACTTTACAAGTATAAACATACATTAATGAAATAAACTAACTTTTTGAAGTTCTAGAGTTTCCTACGTCCTTTAAGGTAAAGATTCTTCACAACGACATTACCGTTATTTTTGCCTTTAATTACACCTTGATTATTTAATTGAACATAGCTTCCTTCTTCGTCCGCGGTCTCAGAGTTGGTCCTGCAAGTTTCAGCAGCCCTATAAGGGCATGTATCCCACTTCCAAGTCTTTGTTCTAAGTACTAGTTCAAACTTAGGAAGAAGTGCCCTAGAAGAGTTATTATGAGGACCGAACCAAACAAAATCCATATTATTATTAACTACTCTAATATTTACAATAACTGAAAGCCCAGCATCATATGTTTTCCAACCAAAAAAGGCATGACTATAATTTGCATAGTAATGTGCGAGTGTCACAACATAAGGATTTTCAATGCCACTCTTTCTCTTCTCCTCAACCACAAATAGACTACCCTGTTGTTCGTTCCCATTAAATACAACATATGTTTTTGTAACTTCTCCTGAACGACCCTTATTCTCGTAATTGAAATTTCTCAAGCCACGTTTTCTAAGTTCACTAGAATTTATTATTTTAAGAAGGTCATTTTCAGTTTTTTCTATAGAAAATTGAATAAACTCATCATTTTGGTAGATTCTGAATACTGCTAGACGTGTGACACCTTCTTTATCACTTGTTGTTTCACACATAAGTTGAACATCCTTTGTACTACCTGCGTAGTATGAGAGATAATATGTCATCAACTTGTCTTCATCCAAGTAACGTTCAGTTATGTTGAATATCTGGGTAACATTCTTTCCCACATCTAAAAACCCGTTAAGAGGAATACTATTTTCATTTCCCATGTAAAGTTTCTTTTTTCAAAAAGTTTGGACAGCAATCTATGATGCACAACTTCACAAGAAAATTAAAAATAAATAAATAAATTAGTGACTAAAATAAATATTTGGAATTAAATTACTTGATACCTTCCCTAGATTGTAAGAGATAAGACATGGATATACTAACCAGGAGAATACACCATATATATGAACTCAATGATATTGATACATAAGTTAATGAAAATTTCTAATTAGTGACTCTGCTATTCTGGTTTGCACCGTTATGCTTGTAAGGCAAATATATAAAAAGAGTACAGAATATATTTGCATGGTCACCAAATAAGAATAATATTTGCGTTATTTTTCAGCAAGATTACTCAATTATAATAAGATAGAATCTAATTCCTTTATTTATTTATTTATTCTAATAAAGATGGCATCCGATTCTGTTTAAAAACAACATCTAATATTTTCTTTTTTTCTTTTAGCATTTCTTTTTAATAAAAGTAAGAGAAAATGGGTGATACATCTACAATGTAAAAAAAATTTATACCGTCAACTAATCACGATCATAAATCCAATTATGTTAGACTGTCATTTTTATAAAATTTATATGACATGACAAAAATATGTTTTTATTGGATGAGGTATAAAAAAAATTTACACTATCAATGCATCTCTTTTAAACTCTAAAAATAATATATGTAGATATTCGACCGTATAAATTCTCCAAAAAAGTATAACATATGTGGTTTCAGTAAGGCAATTTTTTTTATCCTTATTAGATTCTTCTAAACCTTCACAAACATTTTCATAAATGACAATAAGAAGATAGGTACTACTAGAAACTCTTTGTTTTCTTGCGGAATTTTCGGGAAAAAAAATGCAGCTATACCTGCAGATTATTTTGCGATTTTATTAAAAATAAATTTTTCTACGGAACGAGTTTCTGCAGTAAATTCTGCAAAAATTCTTGCGAATTTTGCTGTAGAAATCTCATTTTGTATAAGACTGATCTTACTGGTTGATCAGAACCTTAAAGTGGGCCAAAGGATGACGTCTGTTTGGCTGGAAATCGAGGAGAAATGGGGGTGTACCTACAAGGCACTCTGACGATCAAGTAAGAATGGGTGCAAAGAGATACAAGAAAGATATTTGGCTTTTAGGTTTGGATATTGGATACATGACCCTCACAAGTGTCAGGGTTTATATAATGCCCCAGGCGTTTGGCCGTTGGTCCTTATTTTTGGGTCTATATGTTCGGGTCCCTAAAAATAGGTAACTGTCAGGACTTGGTCAAAATGGTCAGTCGTGCCCGTAACTAACCGTTGCTCCGAGCAAGGATGAGATGATGGGCATATGCGCTTAAGAGTGTTTCATGGGTGTCTTCTCTTCTTACGTTGAACAAACTGAGAGGTAGCTGCCCTTGTGGACAGTGTGTGTTTCAGGCATCTTGGCCGTGTCGCTCGATGGTGCGATCGACCAGGGATGTTGGGCCAGCGTTATTGGGTCGCGCCAAAGATAGAAGCGGATTGAGTCAATTCTAGTCATTGGGCCAATCCAGAATAAGGGCCCCCAAGTATTTGCTCCTAGGCATAAGAGTGATGACTTAGAGTCAGCCCGTGAGGGGTTGAGGACGATTTAGAATGCGTTCGGGGCAACTGCGTGAAGGAGCTCAAACATGGTCCTTTGTGTTTGGTGTACAAAGAGCCTAATAGTTTATTGAACCTAGAGTGGTAGTGTTTCACGCTTGCTTCAAGCCACATGTTGTCATAAAAGTGTAATGATGGCAAGTCTATGGACTAGGGCGTAATGATAATGACCCTCGGGTTCCCCTAGGCGTGTGTCCGCTCATACGCTAGTGAATTTTGCCTATAAAAAGGAGAGATGAAGCTTCATTTGCACTTTTTATTTCTCCTCTTTTGATTGTTTCTGGTTCTTGCACGACACTGTTGTTCTCCGCCGAAGTCCTTGCCTTCTTTTTCGTCCACCGCTGTGATTTCAGCCCGTTCCGCTGTTAGCCTCCCCAAACCTTGTAAGTTTCCTATTTTTCTTCTGTTTTGCCCAAATTTTCCCTATTTTAGGTTAGATTCTTGTTTTTCGTTCTAGAGATGCATGTGATTAGAGGTATATTAGCCTTAGATTGGACGATTCTCAGTTGTTTACTGTTGTTTGATGGTGGTTTTGTCGCCTGGGAATGTTGGCTCCGTCGTAGACCTATTTGGCAACCCCTGGTGGCAAGGGTGATAGTGGTGGTTTGTGATGAACTTTCTGGCGACTTTGGGTCATTTCTTGAGCTTTTGTTTTGAACTTCCTGTGTTTCTAATGTGTCTCCGAGTGAGGTCTAAAATCTGTTCGCCGAGGATATAGTTTTCAGGAGAAAGCTAGGGTTTATCTCGGCGGTCGGGTGCCTAATACTTTAGAGGGTATCATTCTCATATGGCTTTCAACTGTTTTAACTGAGGGCTCTAGTCAGGGACAGAGTCCTTGTTCACGCTCGTTTACTTAATTAGTGGTGGAAGGGTGGATTTGATTCGATGTCAAATTCACTTTTTCCTCTGCTTTTCAGGTACGTTTGCGCCTGTTCCCCGTCTTTGCATGAACTCGATAGGGGCCTTCCCAGCTTGTGGTGAGCTTGCCTTCCCAAGACTTTTTGTGATTTCCCTACAGCATTAGGCTTCCGACTTCGAATTTACGACGTATGACTTTAGCGTCGTATTGTATGAATTATTTTAGAGAGGCCTCTCGCAAGGCTGCTCCCATTTGAATCTCCTCGACAAGTTCGAGCTCCTCCCTCAATGCCACATCTTTCATTTCTTCTTTGAGGGGGGCTTCAGTTTGTCTGGAGGGTTTCGTGATTTCGATGGGGATGATGGCCTCGATTCTGTATGCTAGTCGGAAGGGAGTCTCCCTGGTGGATGAGTGAGATGTCATCCTATAGGCTCAGAGTACACTATGTATCTCCTCGGCCCATCTTTTCTTAATCTCGTCCAACCTTCGCCTTAGGCCTCGTAGAATCACTCTGTTCGCATACTCGGCTTGCCCATTTGTATGTGGGTGTTCGACAGAGACCAAATGTTAGATAGTTCCCAACTTGGGAACAAACTCCTGGAAGTTTTTATCAGTGAATTGTGTCCCGTTGTCAGTGACGATGGCTTGGGGATTGCCAAACCGAGCAAGAATGTTTCTTTTGTAGAAACGAAGAATGTTTTACACGGTGATTCTGGCCAGCGCTTTTGCTTCTATCCATTTTGTTAAGTAGTCCACGACCACTATCAGGTATTTGTTCTAGTTTGATCCTACCGTGAATGGTTCAAGGAGGTATAGGTCCCTCCATGAGAAGGGTCGGGGGAAGAAAGAGATTTGAGTTGGCTTGGAGGTGCTAGATGCATGTCTCTATGGCGTTGGCATTTGTCACATTTCTTCATGTGCTCTTTAGTGTCGTGCTGCATGGTGGGTCGGTAATATCCTGCCCATAATGCCTTTCTAGCAAGGGATCTTTCACCCAAGTGTTGGATATTGATTCCCTCATGGATTTCGCACATGATGTGGATTGTTTTGCCTTCTTTGACTTATCTGAGGAGTGGTGGAGAATAACCTTCTGTGGCTAAAACGTAGGAGTAGGCTCTTCACTTGACTATGCTGACCTCTTTCTGATTGGTTGGTAATTCTCCTTTTGTAAGGTATTTGTAGACTGGGGTCATCCAACAGTTACCATCTCCTATGGCGCATACAGCTAGAGTTGAGGAGGGTTTTTTGATGCTCGGTCGAGGAAGTATTTTCTGTAGTACTGATTTGTTTCCCCTTTCCTTTTCGTGCTTGCCAATTTTGACAGGATATATGCCCGAGTGTTATGCTCGCAGGGAACATGTTGCGCGTCCACGAACTTGAATTTCTTCATTCTTTCTTGGACCAAGGCTCGGTATTCGAATAGATGGTCATTCTTGACCTGATATTCTCCTCATACCTGAGATGCAACGATCTGGGAATCTATGAAGATCCTTACTTCCTCGGCTCCCAAGTCTTCGGCCAAGCATAGACCCGCGAGGAAAGCTTCATATTTGGCCTAGTTTTTTGAGGTTGGGAAATACAGTGTGAGGGAGACCTCGATCAAGATTCTCTCATTGTTCTCCAAATAATGCATGCTCCACTTCCTGTTGAGATAGAGGATCCATCCACGAAAATGGTCCATTTGTACGCCCCACTCATGGAGGAGGGTAAGGTCATCTCGGAGATGAAGTCGGCCAGTACATGAGCTTTGAGGTGGACAAGGGAATGTTTTCATTCTTCAGTCCACTTGAAGGTTGCCTCTTTGCGGAGAAGCTTAAAGAGAGGAAGTGCATGTTGGGCAGATTTTGCCACGAAACGAGATAACGAGGTTAGCATTTCGTTTAGGATTTGAATAGATTTATTTTAGTTTGGCGTTGGAAATTCAGAATATGCTCAGCATTTGTCGGGGTTGGCTTCGATTCCTCGTTCTATCAGGTAGAAACTGAGGAGTTTGCATGCCCGTGCGCTGAAGGTGCACTTTTCTGGGATGAATCGCATTCTGCATTTCCTTGCCTACTCGAAGACTTTCTTCAGGTAGAGAGTATGGTTGGTTTCTTCTTTGGACTTGACGATCATGTCATCCATATAGACCTCGAGCATATCTCCTATCTCCCTTCAGAAGACCTTGTTCATCATTCATTGGTATGTAGCGCCGACGTTCTTCAGAATGAAGGGAATTACATTATAGTAATAGTTGTCTGACTCAATCATGAAGGCCACGTGATTTTTGTTGGTTTTGGCCATGGGGATCTGGTTGTACCCAGAATTCACGTCAATGAGTAAGAGCAGTTTAAAACCTACGAAGTTGTACACTAACTTTTCAATATTGGGGAGGGGATACGCATCTTTCTGCCAAGCTTAGTTGAGATCGATATAATTAATGCACATGCGCCATTTCCCATTACTCTTTTTCATAAGAACTACATTAGAGAGCCAGGTCGTGTACTGGACTTTAGAAATAAAGTTTGCCTTTA